TCTCTCTCTCTCTCTCTCTCTCTCTCTCTCTGAGATACGCTGTTTTTTTTTTTTTGCGTTGTGGGTCATTTTCATACAGGGCCTTCCCCCACGGACCACCACGTGGACAAATGTGACATATGCCAGCGTATATCACCCCCTCCTCCTCCTCCTCCTCGCCGTATCGTTCCACCAAGTCATGTCCGTCTCTTAGTAGCACAGAATGATACAGAGGAGATTTCCATGGGCCCTGTGCATCCCTCGTGGTCATCCACCTCCTTTTCCCGCCGTCGAAACTTGCGAAGCTTCGACGCCTGCGCAGGTGACGCGCATGCCACTTCAACACCGGCTGAAAAAAAGAGGAAAAGAAAGAAGCGGAAGGTAGAACAAAAAGTGGCAAAAAAAAAAAGGACAAGACAAGCAGCTCACTCCTGCTCCCCATCTTCCTACTTGGCCACCTCCACATCCACCTCCTCCTTCTCCTCTCCCTCCCCTTCATGGGATGATGTGACCTCCACCTGCGCCTCCCCCCCTGGTCATCCGCCTCGGCCTCCCCCGTCATCCTCTTCCATCCATCCTCATTCCGTCCTCCCTCCCTCCTCGGTCCTCCATTCTCCCTCCTCCATGCATCGTCGTCGTCCTCTTCTCTCCTCCCCCTTCCTCCACCTCCATTCACCATCGTTCTTCCTCCATCATCATCGTCGTCCTGCCTCTTCTCCTTTGTCCTCCTCCCCCCACCTCGTTGTCCATCACCTCGACGATTCCTCGTCTGTCATCGTTTTCCTCTAGGGCCATCCTCGTCACGGTCGTCGTTTTCGTCCTTGCCATGGTTAGTGTCGTCGTCRTCCCCCCTCCCCTTTCATGTCATCCTCTCCCCCTTTCCACCCTTCAACCTCGTCCTTCACCCCCCACTTCCACGTCATTTTCCCTTTTCCACCCTTCCACGTCAGCTTTCACTTTTCAGCCGCAAAAGAGGTTAGAGGAGATGAATGCTGAGAGCCGCTGCTCCTCCTTCCTCATCCTCCCTTGATCCTCCCTCCTCCTTGATCGCCCTGTCCTCCCCGCTCGTCCTAGTAGGGTATATTTCGATGTTCTAGGGGTAGATTCATTCGATTTTGCTCATCCTATCGATGGAAGTA